AAACCTGATAGGGGTTCCTTTGTAAGTTATTATTTTCTGCCATGCTGCCCTTAATATTTTTCATCATTAACTTTTGCCATTTTTACTATTATATGCCTTGGAGAAGATTTTTTTACATTGATGTAGTTAGGAGTTCTATTAGCTTCATTTACATGTAATTCCAGCTCCTTCTCCAGCTTTGGGAAGTTCTCAATTATTTCTTTGAACAAGCTCTCTCTTCCTGTCTCCCTCTCTTCTCCCTCTGGGATATCTATAATCTTTATGTTGCGTTTCCTAATTGAGTCAGATATTTCTCAGAGATCTTCTTCATTTCTTTTTAGTCTTAGTTCTCTCTCCTCCATCTGAAGCATTTCTATATTTCTGTCCTCCAAATTACAAATTATGTCCTCCACAATAACATCTCTGTTATTTAAGGATTCCAGATTTTTCTTTATCTCATTCATTGTGTTTTTCATCTCCAACTTTTCTGATTTTCTTTTTATAATTTCAACCTTTTTTTGAAGAATTCCCTCTGTTCATTAATTTTATTCCTGAGCACACTGAACTGCCTTTCTGAGTTTGCTTGTAACTCATTGAGTTTCTTTATGATAACTATTTTGAATTCTTTGTCATTTAGCTTGTAAATTTCTGTGACTTCACGATTTATTTCTGGATACCTGTCATCTTCCTTCTGGTCTGGAGTGTTAATATACCTCTTCCTGCTATTCAATAGGATGGACTTGTGCCATCACGTTGTGGTAGTATCTGGTCACAGATTCCTCCTGCCGTCACTGGAAGAGGCAGGAGCTGTGTATTCTGAGCCTGCTGTGGTCTCTGGCACCAGTGCCTGTCTGTTGGAAGCTGTGCTGACAGGGTCTGTCTGCGTTTACCCACTGGCCATTTCTCCTTTACATACATAAGTGCACAGGCACTCTGGCTGGGGTCCCCTGCTCTGGCCCACCCGCCAAGCTGATGCACCCAGCAGGAGGAGGGAGAGGGGTGCTTTCTTTTGTGTATGTGATCCTGGGCATTCCCACTCTGCACTTGTTGTTTACCTTCCTGGGCTGCTTGGCTTGAAGACACCCCTGTAGCTGCTTAGCATTCTCAAAGTGGAGCATTCCCACAGGCTGGGAGGCAACTCCAAGAGGGAAGTCATTCCCACGGAGGGCTGCCCTTTCCCCCCTCTCCTCTCGGAGTCGAGTGCTGGCTGCCATGTGAGGTCCTGTGCCCTAGATTGCTGTCGTTCATCAGGGAGAGGAGATTCCCTTATGTCCTTCCACTGCCTTCTGGGGGGTCCAGCCCCCCACCTTCAGACTTGTGGCTGTGTGGATCTCTCAGATGTCTATTGTGTTGTGTGAATGTCTTCTGCTGGTTTATGAATGTCCTTTTTATTGTATCTTATAGGGGAGAGACTAAGGCAAGAGCTCACTCCACTGTGACGGTTATGTCACTCCTAGAAGGATTTTTCTAAAGGCTTTTGTTTTCATACATCTCAGCCTTATAGCCTGAAGCTTCCAGCCATTAAACATTTACTGGTTTATTCCTTGTTTGAAATATTTTTTAGCATGCAAAAGTATACCCAGATGATTCACAGATCCAAAACCACAGCCTAAGCAGGAGACAACAGCATTTCCTTCCTGAGCATGGTGCTAAGAAAATAGAGAACAGATGCACAAGGCCAGAGAGGATCCCTTGGGTCAGCAGCAGACAGAATCCAACTGGACCATTGTGGATGGACAATTTAGAAAGGTCTTTGGAACGAACTTCCAATTTGCAAAGATCTTTAGGGAGCAATATTTGGCAGGATATTTTTTCTCTTACATTTTAATTCAGAAAACACTTCCATCTTTTTTAGAAAAATTCCTTAAACTGTGGTTCTTATTCTAAAACCTGGAAAATTAGGTATTAAAAAAATAATAATAATATCATGATGTTAATCTAAGAAGGAAAGTAACCGGAGTACAAGATAAGGAATGTGCAACTATCAAAATGCGGAGGTGGCTCAGACTCCACAACCTCTAATTCACGTGGCATGTAATCTTCTTAAACAATGATTATAGAAACTTAAAGTGCATTCAAAGGGGCTGGAATTGTCATTAATTACTCTGCAATATGCCGTCAACCAAATTCTCCCTTCGAGTAAATATATGTGGCTTCCATTGAAATTAGTGGGTGTCACTTACAGGTAACTGAGAGAAGAATTTGGTTCTGTGACCTAATAAGGCACTGTGAAGACTTGATTTACAAACAATTATTAAGGAAGATTTCTACCAGTGATATAGAAGAAATTTAAATATCTTTACTTTAATTGAGTCAAGAAACATGAGTTGAGTATAGACTTTGTTCTGCAGGATGCTAGGTACTGCTGAGGGAATCCAAGGTAAGACATAGACTGCCCTGCCTCAACTTGCTCCCAAATCTGCAGAGGAGAGGCCTGACAGAGGTCTCTCACATCTGTTATTCCTCCAGTTCTCAGCTTACATGTCACTTTCTCCAGATGACATTAGATCTTCCTGGTAAGATGCATCGTATTGGTAATTACTTGTTTGATTCCTGTTTTCTCCTGCAGCTCCAAGAAAGGAGGGACCATCTTCCTCTTATCCTGGTGGCCTGTGGATGACTTGATAAGAACACAGGTTCGGTTCTGAAGCCAGCAGCCTGAGTTCAAATCTCAGCTCTGTCATTCACTCTCTGTGTAATTTTGGTCAAATCATTTATGCTCTCCAAACTTTGGTATCCCCATCTGTAAGACAGAGATAACAGTTCTGTAGTAGTTACCTGTAGAGCTGTTGTGAAGACTAAATGAGGTAAAGTCACTAAATGGCCTGGCACATATGAAGCCCTCCACAAAGCTGAAATAAAACATCAGTAGTTAAATAAGGCTAATCTCTTTAATAGATAAAGACAATGGTTGCCATTCTCTGGCTATTCAAATGACATCACAACAGCAATAATAATCACTATTATTGAGTTTATTGTGGGCCAGGAACTGTGCTTAATGCTTTGCATATAATCAGCAAATTTAAGAGATATGCACATCAACCCATCAACAACAACCTGACCCTTTAACCTCTTCTCTCTGGGCATATCATTATTTATTAGCGATGTAAGATCATCAGATCAGACTATGTATTGGTGGCATATGAGTGGCTGTGTCAGTCACAGACTTAGAAGGAAATAAATGTCTGGTTCAAAGGACAAATTGAAGAGAGCATATGAAGACTAATTCAAGGATTTCGGCAGGGTGAAAGAATCCAACAAGGGATGGAATTGCTTACAGCAACTAGCAATAATGGGGAGTTGTTACCTCCCCTAGGCTTGAACCGGCAAAGGAGAGAACTGGTGCTCCAGGCTCTGTGAAAGCTACAGTCAAGGGAGCGCAGCCGCCCTGCAGGAGCTCTGGTGGTAGAGGTGTTGCCCACTGCATAACCCATGGCGAGGCAGGGAGCAGCCGGAGAGGGACAGCTGCTCTCTGCCTGCCTTCTGATCTCCTGTTGCTACCTCCCAATCGCCAAAACCTGCTAGAAGCCAGAGTGACGCCGTCTGTAATTTCCTCCTCCTGGAACAGAGAATGGGGCAGAGAAGGGCTGAGAACGATCTATCTAGAAGAGCAAGCAGAATAACCCGCATGGAACCACTGACCGTCATGTCTAGTCAAACTTGAAAAAATTCATGTTGACTGCATTCAGAACATTAGAGAAAATGAAGAATTTCAAAAGTTAAACAAAACTGGCAGAGCTATTGCTAAGCTAAAAATAAAGACAAGCTTTTCTTTCTTGCTACAATTAACGAATATGCAAAGAATATAGAGGGTACAGCTAGCAACCGCGTGTCTGTTGTTCCTCCTCGTCAGCCTCAGTAAGATGAAAGCTCGCGCTGTTAGGCTCCATGTTTGAAAATGACCCAGTTATGGTATTTAGTTGAATTTAAGAACCAAGGTTTGCTAATGAATCTCAATCATGGCAGCCAATTGTTCCTCCCTTTTTATTTTCCTGATATCAACCAACTAAGATTTGAGCCTCTTCTTTTTGTTCAGTGGAGCACTATTCTTCTGGAAGACATCTTTTATTTTATTTTTTATTGTGGCAAAATATACATAATATAAAATTAACTGTACATTTTTAAGGGTACAGCTCAGTAGTGTTCATATATTCACACTGTTGTGAAACAGATCTCCAGAACTTTTTTATCTTGCAAATCTGAACTGCAATCCATCAAATGACAGCTTCCCATTCCTCCCTCCCCCCAGCCCTTGGAAACCACCATTCTACTTTCTGTTTCTATGAGTTTATCTAGGTGCCTCACATGAATGGAATTATCTAGTATTTGTCCTTTTGTGATCGGCTTATTTCACTTAGCATAATGTCCTTAAGGTTTGTCTATGATGTCACATGGGTCAGAATTTCCTCCCTTTTTAAGGCTGAATAATTTTCCATTGTATGTGTATACCACATTTTGTTTATCCATTCATCTGTCATTGAACACTTAGATTGCTTCCACCCTTTGGCTGTTGTGAATATGCTGCTCTGAACATAGGTGTACAAATACCCGTTCAAGTGTCTTTTCAGTTCTTTTGAGTATATACCTAAAAGTAGAATAGCCAGATCATACGGTAATTCTCTATTTTATTTTTTTTGAGAAACCACCATACCATTTTCCATTCTGCACGCATCATTTTACATTCCCAACAACTGTGCACAAGTGTTCCAATTTCTCCACATCCTTATCAACACGTTTTCTGGATTTTTTAATATAATATTCATCCTAATAGGTGTGAAGGGATAGCTCACTATGGTTTTGATTTCTATTTCCCTAGTGATTAATGATGTTGAGCATCCTTTTATGTGCTTATTGGCTATTTGTATATCTTTTTGCAGAAATATCTTTTCAAGTCCTTTGCCCACTTTTTAAATTGGGTTGGTTTCTTTACGTTGTTGAGTTGTAGGAGTTATATATTCTGGATATTAATCACTTATCATATATATGATTTGCAAGTGTTTTCTTCCATTCCGTAGGTTGTCTTTCCACTCTGTTGATAGTGTCCTTTGATGCACAAAGTTTTTAATTTTAATAAAGTCCAATTTATGTGTTTTTTCTTGAAGATATCTTTTAACATAGGCTTTGCATGATTAAAACTTTTGGAGAACAGGGCTCAGACTAGACATAGTTGTGGTGGACTCTATTCTATTTGTAGCAGAGCAAAAAGAACAAAGGCTTAGGTTTCATAACTCACAAAACTGACCTAACTGATTTGTATACTTTGGATGACCCCATCATATGTCCAGAATTTAAATTTTTCCTCTTGGCAATAGAGAGGTACAGGTCTCCCCTCATCTTCCCTCCTTTGGATGCTATAGTATCCTGCTGGGAGATGCCATCAGGGAGTCAGAAGAAAGGTACTCTTTCACTTGCAAATAACAGTAACTCAATCTAATTGTCCCAAGAAAAGAAGCATTTTAAAATACAGAAAAAATTAAATTTTGATAAAAATTCTTTGATTCATATAACTGAAAAGACCAAGGAGAGGTATCCTGGCTTCAGGTATAGCTGGTTCCAGGTTCTCAAACAATGTCATGGCTCTGCTCTCCTCTGGGTTGACTCCATTCTCAAGTAGTACTTCCCCTTATGATGACAACACAGTGACCATCAGCTGTTGATTTACTTCTTACTTTCTCAGCAGCTCCAGGCAGAAGACAAATTCTTTCTTCCTTATAGTTTTAAGAAAAGTTTCTGTATGATCTTTTGTATTAAAACTGACTACATTGTTAGCCCAATGGCTGAGGAAACATCAATGGGTGATCTGAAGGATTTTCCTTATTGAGCAGTTGTGTTCTCTGATGAGCAACTATGGTCAATATTGACATTTGTTACCACTGTGGATTTATTTTTTCTATAATTACTGGCTTCAACTCACAGATGGAGGAACTATTGAAGTTGATGGTACGTTCTCCAGGGGCTGCATAATGAGTCCCCATGCTCACGAGATGCAAGGGACTTGCTGGAAGTAGTGGAAACCAAAACCCAGAGAAATATTTTGTTTGGGGAACCAACGTTTAAGCATAATTCACTGCTTACTGTAGTATTTTAAAATAAATAGAATTAGTTTCAGTAATCACCAAACTTCCCATTTTGTAAAAACATAACAAAGGGATAGAGTACCAAATATGGAAACCAAAGACCCAAGCTTGAGTCCTGGACTCTCCTCTTATCCACCATGTGCCTTGGGCAATGCTAGGGACTGAGTTGTATCCCCCCAAAATTCCTACGTCAAAGCCCCACCCCCATTATGAAGGTATTTGGAGATGAGACTTTTGGGAGGTCACTATGTTTAGGTGGGTGAGGCCCTCATGATGGGATTAGTGACCTTACAAGAAGAGACACCAAAGAGCTTGTTCTCTTTCTCTCCCTCTCTCTCTCTCTCTCTCTCTCTCTCCCTCTCTCTCTGTCTTATGAGGACACAGCGTGAAGGAAGCCATCTGCAAGCCAGGAAGACAATCCTCACCAGAAACCAACCATGCTGGCACCCTGAACTGTGAGAAAATAGATGTCTGTTGTTTAAGCCCCCCAATCTATGGTATTTTGTTATGGCAGCCTGAGCAGACTAAGATAGACAGGGTGCTTAAGCCTTAGGTGTCTGATCTGTGAAAAGTCCGGGAAGGGGGTGGTAAACGTCAGTGGGGCTGCAGAGGTGGATTCCTCAGTATGTGTGCAGATAATGTAAGGAGGAAAGCAGTGATTATAAGAAAAAAAACCTATCCTTCTCTTCTCTGACATTCATCCAAACAAACAGAAGAAGGTGAAGGCAGAAGAGGACTATTTTGGGTCTATAAAATATCAGAAATAGAAATAAAAATACTCTGGGGCATATGAACCAATAATCTAGACTCTAGGGCAGAACTGTTACTTTCTTTAAAGTATAATTTTTAAACTCCTTTACAGAGATCTGACAGTTGAGACACTACTCAAATCTTTCTTTTTCCTCCTAAAAATGCTAGGTTCGAATGTTATTCCTCCTACCACCATGTAACTTTCCACCTGTCATCATCTGGGCAGTCAATTTTAAATACAACATATTCCTACCTCAGGACATTTACATTTGCTCTTCCCTCCACCTGGAACACTCTTTCTCCAGATAGCTGAATGACTCACTCCTCCACTTCATTCAGGTCTCTACTAAGTTGTCACCTCACTATAGGAGCTTCTCCAATGACCCCATCTAAAATAGCTTCTTCCCATCCCATCACACTGTATCTGCCTTTTTACGTGGTACTCACCCCTACCTGACATTTTGTACATTAAATTATTTTTATCTATCTTCTCCACTAGAATGTATGTACTATGAAGGCAAAGACGTGGTTTGGGTCACTGCTATATCTCCAGCACAGGAACGCTGCCTGGTACACAGTAAGTGCTCAATAAATGGTCAGTATAGAATGAACAAATCTCAATCTTCTTTTCTCATTGTGATACATATGACAGTGTCATTCTCATGCAGGGCACATGTCCTTGGGGAATATACAAATTGTGGCAAATCTTAAAATTAATTTTCTGGCAAGTAAAACAAATGGTGCCATTTTGCTTTAGATAGGGTTGGGGCATAGAATTCAGAAGCATTTTACAAACATGTGAGTGATGAAATCGGCCATTTAAAGGTTCCAAAGCTCTTATAAAAGAAAATATACCCATATCTTACAAGAAAACATAGCAAATCAAATTGACATTTTTAAACTATATTTTGAAAAAGGAATCTTGATTTTTTTTCTAGCCTTCCACTCTATAGATAATATCATAAATCAATTTGCTTTTTATTGTTTGCATCTCAACTTAGATATAACTTCCCTCTTAAAAACTTCCCCGTGACTCCCTCAAATTGGGGTTATGTGCCCCCATGGGACCTCAAACTTACCCTACCAAAGATCTTAATGCTCTGCTCTGTGACTGCTCGTTTACTTTTCTATGGCCCTGGCCCCATCCCTTATTCCTGCCCCCAACCAGTGTCTCCCCATTTCCCCCCCCCCAGTACAACACCAGCTTCAGGAGAAACAATTTCATGACTACTTTATTGACCATTTTACATCCAACACGTAAGGTATGAATAAATATTTGCTAAATTGTGGCTGGCCTGTGGCCGAGTGGTTAAGTTTGTGTGCTCCGATTCGGCAGCCCAGGGTTTTGTAGGTTCTGATCCTAGGCACAGACGTGGCACCACTCATCAGGCCATGCTGAAGCGGCGTCCCACATGCCACAACTAGAAGGACCCACAATCTAAAATATACAACTATGTACCGGGGGGCTTTGGGAGAAAAAGGAAAAATAAAATCTTTAAATAAATAAAGTCTTGATTTAAAAACAAATTTGCTAAATCAATTAATAAGTTCTATTTAAGAATAAGCACACCCATTGGGGCCGGCTCCGTGGCCGAGAGGTTAAGTTTGCGCGCTCCGCCATGGCCCAGAGTTCGGATCCTGGGCGTGGACATGGCACCGCTCGTTAGGCCACGTTGAGGCGGCGTCCCACATCCCACAACTAGAAGGACCTGCAACTAAGATATACAACTATGTACCGGGGTGGGGGGCGCGGTTTGGGAAATAAAGCAGAAAAAAAAAAAAGATTGGCAACAGTTGTTAGCCCAGGTGCCAATCCTTAATAAAAAAGAAAAAAAGAACAAGCACACATAAATCATTGTGTGTTTAAAATTGAAAATTTACAATGTACAGACTTTTGATAAATAATAAAAATGGTGGTCTGAGTTTTCAGGCACAGCCTCATTCCAGGTGCCTGTCGTTTGGTAATTGTGACTGTTCAGTTCTGGGAAATCATCACGGTTCCCTTGCCTTCTTCCTTATTACAAATTTGCCCACGGATCAAATTAGAAAGAAAATGGTGTGCTGTGTTAGCGAGCATGTATGCCAGAATAAAATTTATAAGGTAGATAAGGGAGATGGGAACATTCTTGAAGCCGTCAATAACTCACGCCTCAGACTCAGGAAGGAATAAAGCAAACAAACAGAAAAAACTGGAAAAGCCGTAAAGTCACTGCTCGTAAGCACCGCAATAATTGGTAATTGCCACTGCTATGAATATCAGCCAGCCACTCACTGCAGGGTTTGGCTTTAACAAGGTAATTTCAGGTTGGATACAATTTCCAGTTTTATAATTCTCTCCCGTGTCTCTGCCGTTCAAGAAAGCATATTGAAGGCAGTAAGCAGGAAGAGCCGTATGACAGGAGGAACCTTGAGTCCCCACTAACTTCTACAGCAAGACAAATTGTTCACAAACTTGGTATTTCAATTATTAGTAGTAATAAATTATTCACATGGTACCTCTCAGTTGATCACATCAATCATGACATGAGAAACTCATGTCTAGAACTGTAGCTCTCCAGATTTTTTATGGGAACAGTTTAGTCACAGCAAAATTTCCTGTGGTTCCTATAGTCCACCCAATTCTATTTTCCAAAAAATACCTAACTTGGGGCCGGCACGGTGGCACAGCAATTGAGTTCGCACGTTCCACTTCTGCGGCCCGGCGTTCGCCGGTTCGGATCCCAGGTGCGGATCTATGCACCGCTTGGCAAGCCATGCTGTGGCAGGCGTCCCACACACAAAGTAGAGGAAGATGGGCACCGATGTTAACTCAGGGCCAGTCTTCCTCGGCAAAAAGAGGTGGATTCGTGGCAGATGTTAGCTCAGGGCTAATCTTCCTAAAAAAAAAAAAAACCTAACTCAACAGTAACAAAGACTACAAAAGCAAAAATGTTAAAATATAAGTTAACTCAAGTATAATAGCAATTGAAAAGCATGATCAGCTCAAGACAGAATCTGTGATGCACTCATAACAAAGAGTCTTCCCAAATACAGTGGGAAGTCCAACTATCTGCCTGCATATGTATGTGTGCAATGGGCATTTTGCAGTGTTGACAAGCATTGCACGTGGAATACTCGACAATCTAGAATTCTCTAATGGAATACTCAACAAATTCAACACAAAATATGAATAACTAATTTTAGAAACCTTCAATAAACTTTTACTAGTACGTAGGTCTTAGTATGTAATAGTGAAAATCTAGGACGCCTAGATCAGAAAGGTCTTGCATTGTTTGATTCATTCATTCGATGCCTGTCAGAAGGCATTTCAAGTGCATGGAGTATACCTTGAGAAACATTGTAGTGAAACAATTACCTAATCGACTATTCATTGCAGCTTCCAGGAAGTGCCTAATACAGCTAACTGCTTGTGAGAGGGATATAAAAATATGAACAGGCCCTGAGAAGCTTACAATCTAAGAGATGCTCAATGAAGATTTAGAGAGATCGTGTATTAGAGATCAAAGCAACGTATATGCCTCATATTGTTAGACGAATGAAAATGCTTTTGTGCAATGTTGAGAATAAATGTAATTGTTTCAGTACTGTGGTCTCAAGATTTGTTTTACTATATCAAAAGCTTGATGATGAGCCAGCCCTGATGGTCTAGTGGTTAAAGTTCTGCACTCTCCACCTTGGTGCCCCAGTTCAATTCCTGGTCACGGAAGGAACCACACCACCCGTCTGTCAGTTGCCATGCTGTGGTGGCAGCTCACGTAGAACTAGAAAGACTTACAACTAGGATATACAACCATGCACTGAGGCTTTGGGGAGAAGGAAAAAAAACGAGTAATACTGGCCACAGATGTTAGCTCAGGGCGAATCCTTCTCTGCAAAACAAACAAACCAACCAACCAACAAGATGACCTGCATCGGCAAGTCACCCAAGATAAATTGCAATGGGAATAGCGTCTTGGAGACCAGGCATGGGTCTGTGGTAACAAAACAGAACTAAAGTCTGGGTTTCCAGTTTATTGGGTGACAAGTGTGGATGAGCATGAAGCATAATTCTATAAAATGCTCAAGGCTCAGGAATATGTGCGTTGGTTAACTAGCCGCTGTAAAACACTACGCTCTGAGAGCTGATTCAGCCTTTTGCATCTTTTACACCTGCTACAAAAATAGCTGCCATAAAAGAAAATCAGATACGGTGAATAATTCACAACACAAAAGCTCTTGTGTGGGTGGGAGTGAAGTGGTGTTTGCCTTTGTCACCTTTTATATGATGAAATCTGCAGTTATCGCATAGACTCCTTTCTGATATGGCAACATGAAGATTCTAAGCCAGCAACAGGCAGCTGCAGGGCTGATGGGAATTTGCTGCTTGCCTGGTAGCACTACCAAAAAGTTACAGCGGCTGCAGTAGGTTTTCTCGGGACTCTTAGTCATTGCCTTTCTTTTTCTTTACTCTGTGCAAGCTGTAAACAGATTGTAGATTGTGTGACACCACAGACCCTGAGAGATAATGCAAGGCTACTTTTAGCATCATCTACCAGAACATATAAGTTTTGCTTTTCTACCCAAAACAATTTGACTTGTGCTCTTGACCTTCATATCTATGACTTCGTTCGTCTACTTTTTAGAGAACTTTGAAGGCTGGGGGACCAGGGAATGAGAGTAGGGACCAGATGAATGGGTGTATTAATCATGTTCTTTAATTTCTGTTTTGACATTTTGGGGACTTTGTAGACCCAGGCAGAGAGTGCCCCTCCCAGGACTATCTAATTCCTAAAGATACCATCTTACCCCTGAGCACATCTTTCATATGCAAATCAATCAATCCTGAGCCCATATCCCCCAGTCACTTCCATTATCTAACTAGCACACACCAAGCCAATATTTCCTCTGCCCTAAATCATCCCAGGGCCAGGCACCACGCAACTGGAGACGACCCCTGTAGCCCAAAGCCTGCCAGAATTACTCAAAGTAGCCAATTTTAGCTGTTTACTCTGCCATGCCTTGTCTTTTCTGCAGATACCCCAATAATGGCTTTCCTCTTGCTCCTTTCTGCTTCCTGACCAAACCTGGTGCTCCCCATGTGGCCCTGCATGACATGGCCTGCCCACTCCTCTCAGGAAATGTAAGTAATAAATTGTTCTTTCAGTGGTATTGGCTTCTCCGTGTTGTCACTCAGTCACCTCCATAAATTAAAATCCTATGGACACAAAGGAGACAGTGGGCCTTTGCAGTCATTTTTAGGAACATGGCAGGTTGGCTTCAAATCTGGCTCAGAGATGATGTACTTTCACATTAGCATCATGGGCGACTCTAACACACAGCCCAGAATGGGAGCCAGGCATTCTCTCTTCATCTCTGCCTATTTCCACGTGGCACAGTGAGGCGCTGAGACACACACTCTCATGTTGACTTTCCATCATGACACCAAAGTCCAGAAAACTTGCATGACCTACTCAAGAAAATCAGAATGCAGATCTGTAGAAGTGAAAACGTAGAGCCCTGTTCTCCTTGATTCCTCACATGGAGCCACCAGATTAACAACACCGATGATGACGATCCCTGTGAACGGTTATTTACTGAGAGCCTTGCTCTGTGCCCAGTGTTACATACGCATCATCTCATTGAACACTCACAACAAGGCTATGAGGTAAGTGCTATTATTATTCCATTTTAGAGATGAGAACTTAGAGATGAAAGTCACCAATCCAAGGTCCCATATCTGGTAACTGGTGACCTGGAACTAGACAGACCAAGTCTAAACCCATAGGCCACGCTCTAAGGCCCTGCGTGATACTACATCTGTCAAAACTGAATAAGGCTCCTTCTCCCCCCGGTGCAGAATTCAAGAGCACGGTTCCTTTTGTGAATGAAGCGTCAGTCTGAAAACCACAACCCCTAGTTGGCATCTTCAATTGGCTGGTACATGGTGTCATGTTGCCTTCCAAACCGAACATATTTTTGGTAGATGTTCAGAAGCAGGGCCAATTCCAGGCACTATTGTGAAATAGGCAACCCTCTTGATTTCTGGTGATCGTTTTTCCTGGAATTCCATGCCCTCACCACCTCTATAGATGACCCAGATGACTCCACTCCCAACACTGTCCTCTGTGGTTTGTGCCTGAGGCCCCAAATTATTTCTCTGTATCTCTAAACCCATCAGAATTCCCATTCCCTCTTTTTCAAAAAATCCATCAAGTTTTCTGGATTCAAATGGGCCTGGCTTCTAATTATAGTTCTATGACTTTTAGCTGTGTGACCTTGATCCCCACTTTCCTCATCTGTAAAACTGCCAAAGTAGCACGAACTTCAGCTTCTTTATAAGGATAAAAATGATAGACCATGTGTGCTGTGCCAAAATCAATTTGCAACACGTAATTGGTGCACTATCCTGATAGTTCAGTCAGAAGAAATAGTTCCCCAATTTTCACATATGCTATTTGAGTATAAAGCAATAACACTCCTTTCTGGAGCCCCAAAAGAGTCAGCCTCTTTACCTTATGGACATACTTTCAAATATGGCTTGATAAACCAGCCATGAAAGTAAGCACTGGCCTAGCACATCTGCTACAAATTCAAAAGAAATACAAGAAGTTCTGATAAAACCAGACAGTCGAACAAATGAAAATTAAGCAATGGCTCTAATCAGAGAATGCAGTCTACTTCACAATTTTCCCAACTGTTTGCAGTTCTCATGTCTTCAAATTCTAGAAAGAGTATTTTTAAATAAATTCAGCAGAAATGATGAAGGGAAAAAGCAGGAAGCCAAGCATCATAAGACAGAAGTCATCATCTCCGCTCTGCCACTTGGTGGATAGATGACCTTAGATGTGTCACTCGACCTCTATGGATGCTAATTTCTTCCTCCATAAAATGAGAGTGTTGGACTAGACAGTCCCCAGGATCTCTTCTAGTTGTACCATTCTGTGAGTCAATGAGTCTGTCTCCACCATTGTCCCTACCCTTGTTCTCTGGAGATATTGTTGCCACAATAATTACTGTTGCCCCCAAGTAACATCACGTAGCATAGTCCAGTCACGTACAGGAATTCCAGGAACTGTGACTGTGAATTCTAATCCCTCTTGGGTCACAGCATCATTGAATGACCTTGGGCAGGGCACCTCACTTCAGCTAACTGCCTCGGATGCCTAACCAGACAAAAACCTCCAGGAATTTATGGGATAAATTTCCAACACTTACGCTTCACAAGCTGTTCTTCAAATGCCTTTACAATGCTTACTTTAGGATCACCCATGACAAATCATGAAACCAGGCTTGTTCCCTGAATAATTCGCAGTCATGGTGTGTTCCCACCTCCAACATAGACGCCTATCTCTCTCTATTCAAATCATAACCACCTTTTAAGAGAGGCCAAATTTAAGGGAAACTTAAAAGGCTAAAAAAATGTCAAATTTTTGGCAAATTTAAGGCTAGGAAGAAGAGCTGATATACATTCTATAATAGAACCACCATGATTTCAATAGGCTAAAACAAAATGTGTAAGCCAAGGAGAATTAATGCAAACTTTCAGCCAATATTTTTGAGACGTGTCTTGTGATAGATTGGCACTATAATCCCTACCCTAAATTTAATAGACAAGAAGTCCAATATTTTCATTAATAATAATAATAATAAAATAATGACAGCTGCCATTTATTGTGCAAATATTATGTTTTAGACATTATACTCAGGGCGTTATATGCCATGTCCATTAGAATGCTTTCAGCAGCAAGAAAGAGTACCTAAGCAAAATGGGCTTAAGTAGTAGGGGTTTCCTATCTCATAACCCTTGGTGAGGAGTGGCTGTTCTAGGGTTGGTTGATTGAGAAGCATAACAGCATCATGGAGGATCCAACCTCCAATGGCTATTCTCGGTATGTGGGCAACATCTCCCCTTGTGGCTGCACAATGGCTGCAATGATTCCAGGTGCCACAGAGATACCTCAACATCTAGACAAGTAGATCTCCTACATGTCTCTTTCTATTGGTTTGGAAAACCTTATCCAGAAGGTCCCTACAGATTTCCCTCACATCTCATTGTCCAGGATCAAAGCACTTACACATACCTAAACCAATCAGTGGCAAGGGGAATGAGATCGCCAATATCATCTTAGACTAATCTTGATTCATCCCTGGCCCTCCTTCCTTGAACACATGGGATGGTGACCACCCTACCCAAACAAAACTGGGCCTCACATGCAAAGAAGGGGAGGATGGGCTGGGAAATGGCAATTGGGTAGATAAGCAACAGTATCTGCTAACACATACATTATCATTTTAATTAATTATCTTCCAAGGAGTTATTATCCTCATTTTATAGATGAGGAAACCGAAGCTCAAAAAGTCAAGTAAATTGCCCACAGTCACACAGCTAGAAGTTGGAAAATCCTGTATTCCCAATCACCATATTGATGGTTCTGAAGTTTCAGTGTATGTAAGAAACATCAGGAGAGTTATTAAAACTGTGGATTCCCAGACTCCACACCCAGAAATTCTGATTCCATAGTCTAGGGTAGGAGCCCTTATTTTTCATTTTTAACAAATAATCTCAGTTAATTTGGATTCAGGTGGTCTGTGAACCGCATTTCATGAGAGACCATAGGATTAGCTATCATTTGGGCAGCAGTCTGATTTTTTTTAAAAAACACTCATTTTCTGGAAGCCCCAGACCCACCATCTCCAAAAGCCATCCGTCTTTTTTATGCAGCATCAGAGAAATCTCTCATCAGATTCTCTCTGTAGTCTGCACAGGTCAAGCCCCACATAGTGTCTAGGACTGGTTCCCTAATTTAAGAAGGATATAGATAAAACATTCACATGAGGGGAATGAGTGTCAAGAGGAATCTAAGCAAGTTTTCTAAGTAAGCATTGAAGAATTTGGGATGATTTAGGGTGGAAGGTAGTCAACTCTTTGGTGTGTGTGTGGGGAGAGGAAGCCATCATAAGCCTACAAATATTGGTTAGGTTGTCATGTGTAAAGGATACTCAAAGTAGCATCAATGATCAGAAATTATGAAGCTCATTTTGTTTTGTTATAAGGAAGAACAGTCTAATAATTAACATTGTGCCTCAACGCAAAATGTTCTCTGCTTCACAAAGCATTCTGAATACATTCAAGGAGAGGCTGGTGGACCCAGTATCTGCCACTGGTATTGTAGAAGGAATCCCGCAAGCGAAAGGAAGCCTGTACCGCTGACCCCTAAGATGTGCTGTGATCTCCCATTCACATCGTCTGCAAACTGACTTGTGTTAGTTTTCTACTATGGTCATTTCTGCTGAACACCTTGGAGTGCAATTTAATTTCTATTTTAATTTTATTAATATTGATTTGATTAATGCACCTAATATATAGTTACTTTAACACAAGATCATAATATAAATATATAAATAATCTATAAATAGATTAACAATTTCTATTTTAACTTCTGATTTAATTTCTATTTTAATTTCTGTCTATTTTATTTAAAAGTTTAAACTATTACTTTTTTAAAATTTAAATTTCTATTTTAATTTCTAAGTGTCCCATTTTCCCAAGTTGATGGGACATAGCTGACTTTTTCTTTGTGTCTTCGTGGCATCTAATTCATAAGCATGCCCACCAGAGGTACTTAATATATAGTTGACAATGAAACAGAATGGCCTAGAAGGGTGGAAATGCACACCTAGATTACAACACTGGACAAGATGAGTAGATAACTTTTAGTATGCTGCCCTGCTTACTACCTTTCTCCCGTCTCTGGGCCCTGGGCATGGTGGCCATATCTGCAACATGTACTCTCCTCTCTGGCCATAAGTGATTGGGCCAGAAGTTTACACATGATTCAAGCTGAGCCAATGAGATTGGCACTAAGATTTTAAGACAGTTTCTTAGGGCAGCTGTACTTGTACATGTACTCTCCTCTCTGGCCATAAGTGATTGGGCCAGAAGTTTACACATGATTCAAGCTGAGCCGATGAGATTGGCACTAAGATTTTAAGACAGTTTCTTAGGGCAGCTGTACTTGTAACACATGAACTCGGAAGCATGGTCTACTGAAACTCAACGAAGAAGATGAGAGAAAAAAGAGTGAATTCCCTGGCTTTCCAACTCCTAAGTCCCAATTCCTTCTTGAGGCTCAGCTGTAAATGTGCCTTTGGTCTCTGTGAGAAACCCTGTGTTTTTATAAAATGTCTTTGTCTTTTCCTCCCTTCCTCACTTCCTCTCCTCCCATCCCTCCTTCTTTTCTTCTTTTAAATTTTATGGAAGTTAGCTTTAATGGGTTTCAGTTCATTTCAACCAGAATCTTGAATCTAAACAAATTTGCCTCCAGGTTGTTGAGGCGGCTGATACGAATACCTCGTGCTCTGACAACTCCAGGAAAGCTGGGCCTCCAGAGATCTCAGGTGAAGAGAGGGCACCTAGACCACTGCATGCTGCCAGATATTCTGGAGGGTTGGAGACTGGAGCTCCTGCAGGCTGATTTCCTGACCACTCCATCCTCTAATCTTCAGGGGCATCGAAGCTCCTATGAAGACTCCACTGCCAGACCAAGTCACCTTATAAGGAAGATCCCCCAAGAAGGAACTATGAGATAGGAACTAACCTATGGTGTAACAAAGTGAGACCAGCTGAAGTGACAGGTGGGCATATTTGGGGAGTATCTACAACCCCCTTATGCCACGAAGAGTTTCTCCATACAATATTTTGGGTCTACACACGACAATGCATCTGCAAGGTACAAGTCATCTTTCAAAATCACATTTATCGTGAGTATTCACAGGAACCTTTGGACTTCAGTTTTGTGGCAAAATTGTTTCCCAATATGCATGTGTTCCTCACTTTATGCCCTACGGCTGTTAAGCAGAGAATGTTGACTGTCACTTTGACATACTTACTGAAGAACAGTGTCTGAACAAATCCTGTGACGCTTTCCCCGAACCCCGAGTTTCCATCTTGGAGGAGAGCAGTGCTGGCTGTCAGTGAGGGGCGGGTGGGGATGGACGGTAGTGGAGGAGTCAGAGAAATCGTTGAGAATTTTATGTTTATCTCTCTTGCAACTACGATATCTCTCATGTCGGCCACCGTCAGCAAATCACTGACACATGAGAGCTAAGAAAGAATCGTTTCTTTCCCTTTCTATCTTCCTTTGAGTTCTGGCTATCATACTTTGCCTGAAACCCTTGGCGGCCTTCTCTGTTAGTCCTTTCATCCTCCTTACTACCTTTTGATCCTTTTGTTTCTCCCCAGGCATAACTTCCACCTGTGCTGTCTTCTTAGATTCCCCTAGGAAAGGAATCACAGTTCAATGATTCTTACACTGTAGAATGAAATCCCCCTGACGTCCCTATTTTAAGAAACAAAAACCTAAGTTCTCTTAACTAAAAGTCAAATACAGAAGCCAACTTAACTTCTTACTCAAAACCTGAATAGAAGTTTATTTGGTGAAAGCACCTGCACGGCCTTGCAACTAATTCAGCATCCACAAGACAGTACTGAGGGGTTATTCTATAAGAATAGGGACTGTCATCACAAGAGGCACTGACAATTTTCCCTTGACAAATAACAAAACAAATGAAAATCACTCTCATGTGCTCATTGATGTTGAGATTTCTTTAATATGAATGACATATTTCTGAAGAAGCTAATATATAATTTTGGTTAAAAGAGAGCTTCTTCCTTTTTTTTCTTTTTTTTTTTTTGCAATAAGGCAATAGACATCAAGAGTTTTCAAAACCTGCACAGTCTTTGACTTCACAGTTCCTCTTCCAGGAATTTATTTCCGATAAATAATCAGAAAGCTTTATAAAGATATATGTACTTCAAATTTCATTATAGCTTTAAAAAAAACCTTTTATAATGTAAATTTTCAAACATACACAAAAGTGCAAAGAATAATGTAACAAACCACTGTGTATCCCCCACCCAGCCTTACAGATTATCAACCTTTTGCCCAGTTCTTGTTTCATTTATCCCCACCATTCTTTTCTGCTGTTGTTCTTGCTGGAATATTTTAAAGCAAATCCCAGCCATTGTGGCATTTGACTCTTAAATATGTCAGTTTGAATCTCTAAAACTAAGGATTTTTAAAATTAGCCTTACTCTCACATCACTCCTTTTTTTCCCAATAATTTTCTTGAGATCATAATTGTTTATAACATTGCGTGATTTCAGGTGGACATTATTGTTTATCAATTTCTGAATAGACTTCATTGTGCTCACCACCAATAGTCTAATTTTGGCTGTCACCAAACATATGTGCCCCTTTACTCCTTTCACCCACCCTCCCAACCCCCATCCTCTCTGGTAACCACTAGTCTGTTGTCTTTATCCATGTGTTGTTATCTTCCACATATGAGTGAAATCATGCAATATTTGTCTTTCTCTGTCTGGCTTATTTCGCTTAACATCATACCCTTAAGGTCCATCCATGTTGTTGCAAATGGGATGATTTTGTCTTTTTTTATGGCTGAGTAGTATTCTATTGTATATGTATACCACATCTTCTTTATCCATTCATCCGTAGCAGGGTACTTGGGTTGCTTCCACGTCTTGGCTATTGTGAATAATGCTGCAACGAACATAGAGGTGCATAAATCTCTTTGGATCATTGATGTCAAGTTCTTTGGATAAATAAATATCCAGTAATGGGATAACTGGACCATATGGTATTTCTATTTTTAATTTTTTGAGAAATCTCCATACTATTTTCCATAGTGGCTGCACCAGTTTGCATTCCCACCAGCAGTGTATGAGGGTTCCCTTTTCTCCACATCCTCTCCAACATTTGTTGTTTTTTGTCTTGGTCATTATAGCCATTCAAACCAGTGTAAGGTGATATCCCCTCACATCATTCTTTCACCAATCCACATTAGCAATAATTTCTTAATATCATCTACTACCCATTGATGTGTAATTGCAAGATGTCAGAAATGTCTTTTACACTTTATTCAAATCTGGATCCCAAAAGTTCCTTTATTAGAGTTAGTTCCTATTTCTCTTAAGTCTTTGTAATCTATTACAATTTTTTAACTTTTTATTATGCTATTTATTGGTTGAAAAAAATCAGGTCATTTTGGCCTGTAGAATTTCTCATCTTCTGGATTTAGCTGATTGTATCTGCCTTGTATCATTTAATATCTTCCTCTATCTCCTTGAAACTGGTAGCCAGAGCTAGCATTTTGATTGAATTCAGGTTCTTTTTTTTTTTTTTTGTCAAGAATGCTGCGTAGGTGGCTCTGTGTATGTCATATTACATCATGTCAAATATCAAGTGCTTGTAAGGCCTATTCACCTAACTTTTAGTGATGTTTACATCGCTTAATGGATTCAGATGCTCTCAGCTTAATCCCCCAATTTTACATTTTCTCATCAATTTTTCATCTAATGGTTTTAGCAGTGATTGATTGATCATTGCCTAAATCCGTTATTTCATCAGAAATTTAAAAATGATGTTGTAACTTTGTAATACCTTCTTGTTTTATTAGATCTGTTTCTTCTATAATGAAGTAGCCTTTGTCCACCACCCTGCTTCTTACTTTGAAAAATGTTGAAGTCACAATAGAATGAATACCCATAAACCTTCACTTAGAGTCACCAGTTGCTAACATTTTGCCACATTTGCTTTATCACTCTCATCATATATTCTTATTTTTTGCTCTTCCATTCCAAGTAGAACACAGACATTGTGACACTTCACCTTAAAAATACTTCAGCCTCTGTCCCTAATAACAAAGACGTTCTCACCATAGCCACAATTATTACACTCAAGACACTTAACATTGATTCAATATCGTCTAATGCAGAATTCAAGAAAAACTTTTGCAATTATCCCAGAATGGTCTTTATAATATGTATATTTTAAATCCAGAGTCCTATCAAGGTATATATGCACTGCAGTGGTATCATGTCTCATAATTTTCTATTTTCATCATTTCTGCATTTATTAGCTGGCATTCGTTTGTATTCTTTTCCCCTATTACCATCATTATTCTTTTAGGTTCTCAAATTGACACAAATTTGTCCAATGGGAGCTGCTATAATCTGGCTTCTGCATCATTTCAACACTGTCGCATTGGCCTTTGAGCACTTCCTTGCTTTCTGGCACACGTGATTCTAGGCTCATCTTCTACTTTTCCTGTCTCAGACTTGGAATCAGCTATTTCTCCAGGGAATCTTGGTTCTTTTCAATGAAGAACAATATTTAGACACCAAGATCTGGCATTTGGTATGCTCATTGCTAGTGGGGTATCACTCTTTCTAGACCCTTTCAGGGCACACAATCAAGAAATATATTTTTTTTCAAAAAATCACGAGTTCATACTGACACCTCTAATTCAAATGCAATATTACAGAAATATTCCTCTCTTACCCCATTTTATATTTTTATCTTCTCCCATAGTGAGAATCCTAGTTTTCAAAAAGTTTAAGATATTTTTTCACTTCCTATAATACTTCAATACACACAGAATAGTCTCAGAATTACTTACTGATAACAAAGAAGACTAAGTAAAATGAAATAATATTTCTTTAAAATTCTTTCTGTTCCTAGACTACATTCTATGATCGTGTATTAAAGTATACTTGAATTAATTTCGTTTTCTACGTAGTTATATTTGATGTATAATCTGATATGCAGTTAGGTTGAATTGTTTCTGTCTATATTCAGCTTGAATGTTTTCCCTTTTTATTCTTTGAATTGAATTTAATTTTTTGAATACGTATAATTTTTACATGATTCAAAAGTCAAAACTTTATAAAAAGGCAAATTCAGAGAAGTCGTATTCCCATTTCTATCTTTTATACCCTTACTACCTCTAACTCTCTTAGGTGGTTATTTTTATGAGTTTGTAGATTATCTTTAATATATTTATTTTTGCAAATATTTCTCTCTTTTTATTATTATGTATTTCAGCATTTAAGAAGTTTATGTTTTTACTATAGTGGTTACCTTTACACTAATACTTTATTTTTTAATGGTCATAATCCCCTTTTCCCTTACTTAGACTCCTGCAATTGGTTTAGACCTTTTAAGTGGTAGCTTTTGACTCCCACTTGTCATTGTGTATTACCTACATGCCAATCATTAGTCTTATTTTACTTTCACTTTTCCCTTTCTTTTTGCCGGTATTTTCAGTTGTGCTATTTCTAATTTATCAGAATGTTTAAAATTTACATATTATTCTTCCACTTTTTTCCCATCTTTGTTTAAGTCTTAGAGCTACAGTTAAATATAATCAGAGCTCATCACCAGTGGTTTGCTGCTCTTTCCCCAGTCATCCCTGGTGGGAGACAGTTCATTGTCTGATAGATTTCTCCGGATGGGATCAGGACTGCGTACATGCTGACTTCTCGCGTGTTTAAAACTATTTGCCTATAGTCTTGATAACTGGGCTAGATAACACAGCCGTGTTTTTAAAAGTGGGAATGGAAACAATCCAATTTCTCAACAATCAGAGATTGGTTAAATAAACAAAGTATGCTCAGTTAAATAATGGAACCCTGGTTCATACAGCCATTACATTTGCTGCACCCACTGTGGAAAATAGAAAATGATACATAAACCTGGATTTGTCAAATTCATGTTTCTAAAGTATAAGGATGCATAAGTGTGTGTGTGTGTGTGTGTTTAGCAAAAAGCAGGTCAGAGATACATGAAAAAGTTAACAGTGATTTTCTCTGATTAATAGAATTATTGATGATCTTTAGATTCTCCTTTGTGCTTTTTTGAACTTTTCAAATTGTAGCACTTGTGGGATTGGAGAGAGTACAATGTTTTTTTAAAAAAGCTAGACAAAGGTCTAAAGTTTTCCAGGTTTATTTTTAATGTGTTGGTTTTAATCAATACCACAAGACAGGATGTACCCAAGAAAGAGCAGCATGATCTAATTAACAAGCTCAGGACAGCCTCGGCAGGTCTCGGTGCTCTGCCTCCTCTAGTACTCAATCAGTGCTGGCGGATGATGAAGAAAACTAAAATTAGTCAGTTCTGAGCAGAGTCATCTTGGGCAACTTTTTTGAGTCAAGCTCCTGCTTTCCGGGGTTGTGCTGAGGAGGAAATGGAGTAGTATGCATGTAAGACTGCACTCTTGTGTCTGGCGTATAGTAGATACTCCTATCACTTCATCTAGGAGGGGAGGAGAGATTATCAGCACCCTATTCTCCATAACTAGTAGGGATGTACTCAGATTTACTTCTTCTGAAGGATATAAAAACAAGAAGGACAGATAGCGACTAAAAAGAGGCTGAGGCAGCCTCTGAGAGTATTAGAGAGAAACAGAGAGGGAGAAGAGGAAGATCAGAGAGACAGACAGAGAGAGAGAAAGGGCGAGACAGAAACTGTGTAGAGATCGTTGGAACCTATAGCCATCAGGGCTTCTGCTTGCTTATAAGCAAGAGCAGAGGAAATCTGTGCGCCTAAATCATAACTGTGTTGTTAGAATAAAAAGAGGTGAATGGAGTATAAACTTGCTTCTTTACTAGTCGTTACAGGATAGTAAACTCATCACTGGTCTTACGACAGCGTCCCCCTGAGGGAGCTGACCATGAACAACACCCCAGAGCAACTGACTTGGGATTTGAATGCAGAATGTCGGGCCTGGAATTTTTAAAAAACATCTCTTCAAGTGATTATGATGACCAGCCAGATTTAGGAACTATTGGCCTATACATAGGACCACCATCTATCCCATCTACTCGGACAGTCCCAGAGTCATTATTACCAGACCCCCCTTCTCTTACACAAATCTCTCGAAAGAGATGAACATTAAGTATAGGTGGTTCTCCCACCTGCACCTCACCCTCCCCGGAGACACATTCAGCGAACGTGATGGTGATGGCCGCATACCGTTAGTTACTTCCATTCCGCCACTAAAGGCCAGACTTAGAGAAAAACTACACCTTGAACTTTAATTTACGTTAAAATGTCAATCAACACTCAGATTCTTCCTGAGAGCAGAATTTGATGAGCAGCGAAGACAAAGGCCTAACTCTAAGTGGGGAAGGAGAGTGGGAAATCTGGGGCATCTCAAAGACAATTGCTTCTCCTGCTTCACCATCGGGTCCAAGTCAATTGAGAGAGCGAGAAAGGATAATGGATTTAACTTTGTCTGCTGGTTATTTAGGAACTTCTGT